TGCAGTCCTTGGAGAAAAATTTTTTTTTTGTAGTTTGCTATTTCAGAATCATGCTCTGAAAGTGGAGAGAGGATGGAGGTGTAAGGATAGTTTTCATCTTTACTGGAGAGGGGGCAGGACCACCCCCCAGCTCAGCCTCACTCAGCGCATCACCAAGCTACTGGGAAGCTCTGTTGCTTGGTGATAACTAAAACCCAAACTAAATGCCTGGCTTCTGTTCAATGTTAGGGGGCTTCAGGCTCCATTTCTCTAACCCTGATAAAACCCAGCGGTATTATAGTCACTTCTGATAAAAGTTAAGTGTGCCCCTGCCACCTTCAAAAGGAATGTTTAGCTCAGCTGTGGGCAAACTACGGCCCGCGGGCCGGATCCGGCCCGTTTGAAATGAATAAAACTATTGAAAAAAAAGACCGTACCCTTTATGTAATGATGTTTACTTTGAATTTATATTAGTTCACACAAACACTCCATCCATGCTTTTGTTCCGGCCCTCTGGTCCAGTTTAAGAACCCATTGTGGCCCTCAAGTCAAAAAGTTTGCCCACCCCTGGTCTAGCTTCTTTGTTTCACTCCCATCATTAACAACACCCTTAAAATATACATATTTTTCAGGATAAAGTTATTAGATGATATTTTGATAATATCTTATCCTATGATTCACTATGATTAGAATTATTCTGACACTGGCTGTTATTAACACTGGCCCACAGATAATCAATGATTATTTCAACAGGAATCTGAGAAACCTTACAAACTTTTCAAATTCCCTGTGCAACCAGTGTGTTACTGTTGTGAATTTGTAGAAGTGTCATCATCAACCCAATTCTTAACAGGCAATAGTCCTGAATGCTATGTTGGCTGCCAAACCCATTTTCTTTCTTTTTTTTTTGCCAGTCTAGTTTCGGCAAGTATAGACCCAATAAGCCATTCCTCTGTTGAGTGACCCTCTTCATAAGAGATAAATCAGCCCCAGCTGGTTTGGCTCAGTGGGTAGAGCATCAGCCTGCCTACTGAAGGGTCCAACGTTCAATTCCAGTCAAGGGCATATGCCCGGGTTGCAGGTTCAATCCCCAGTGGAGGGCATGCAGGAGACGGCCAATCAGTGATTCTCTCTCATCATTGATGTTTCTCTCTCTCTCTCCGTCTCCCTTCCTCTCTTAAATCAATAAAAATATTTTTAAAAGAGACCAATCAGAT